AAGGGGAGATTACCCCCCCCCCCTTTTTTTTCCATTCTCTACATAACAAAAATACAGATGTATTGTGAGGTTCGTTCTTGAACTGTTTGATTAACTATGCGAAAAATATCACTCTTTAATTTTGAAAACAAAAATCCGTTTTTCAAGTTACACATTATAAGTTATTAATGTTGTGCATAACTAAATAAGCATTGAAATCTGAGTTGAATTAAGGTAAGTCACTCCTGAAATTTGTTAAATCAAGGATTTTTTTGAGAATTATATTTTGGATAAGTACTCATAAAGTGTAACTCAATATCGCAAAGAAAATAGGTGGTCAGTGTGCATCCTACTGATCTACGGTACATTTAAGTTGACCTTTTTGCACTTAAATTTCATCTCTTTGGTTAATTACTTTAATCCTGATTATATTTGATTAGATGTTAGCATGCAATAAATTTAATCTAATTTTACGTAAAATAGTTTGAATAATATTTATCATTAAACAAATCTTGCAAATTAATGCGCGTAAATTATTGTGTGACCTTTTTGCACTATAAAATAGCATATTTGGGGTATTAAAAAACTTAATAGGCAATAAAAAATTTTCTTATATCAAACTTTTTACGACTTGAGTGCTGATCAGTCACAAGTATCGAGTAGTTTAAAATAATGAAAGAAAAAGGTGGGGTCAGTGATGTTAATTTTGAAATATTTGTCAAAATATGTGATTTTCAGGCAAAAAATGGTGTAAATTTGACCTTGACTTCTTTAATATATTTTCATTTTTTGGAAAAGTTTGTTAAGGGAAGGTGTAAAACTTAATCTAAGAATATAAATTAAGACCTATATTAAATATTTTTAGCAATATCAAAACGGAAAATATTCTCCGAGTAAAAGTATGTGAGGCTTAATTTCCATTACATTAAATTTTATAAATGTGCAGATTTGCAGAACTTTCTGCTAAATATCCTTCCACCAAAAGAAATAGTCCCTCATAAATCTTGCTTCTATGTAGATTTTTGAGCAGTTTTTTCATTGAATGTTAAAAAATTTACATTGTTGAATTTAAATATGTTATAGAAATTGAATTTTAAAAGGTAGTTTTGAAGTAAAATCTTCTGCGTGAACTTTTCTAAAAAGCTGACCAGTGACTTACCTTAAGCCTGAGTTGATTACATTGGTGTCGGAAGCAAACTGAAAGTGCGGGGGATTGAAAAAAAAATCATATCTGAAAAAAATTTACAACTTACAAAAAAAACCCAGAAATGTCCATTGTCCAAACTAGTAGTTAAAACCCGAAAATTCTATTTTTTGGTGGGGGGTGGGTGGAGGATCCAACCTTTTTTTTTCAAGCACTACCACCTACTATTCTTTCTTTGACTACACTGTAACGTGCCTGTTGAAACCCTGTGAGATTGGTTTTGTCTCCCCTTTTAACTTGAAAAGGGGGATGCTAAACCATTTTCACATTGTTTAATGCATATATTATGTCTTTGCAAAAATGTGTGTGTGTGTGGGGGGGGGGGGGGGGGGGGGGGGGGTGTTAAGCATCCCTAGCCGCTCTCCTGTTTCCGACGCCTATGGATTACTAGTAAATCACAGTTGTGAAAACCAAGTCATAAATATGTGTTTTTATGCTGTTAAATTTAGAACCGGTTTCATGATCAAAATTCCACGACCCGGCTCAGTTTTCAACGGACTAGGGTATAAATTCAACACCTTTGGTCTCACCATTCAACGTTGAAAAATGACCCCCGGGTCAATTTTCAACCCGGGTCAAAATTCAACGTTACACCGGTGAAGGGCTGCAAATTTAAGCCTATGCTCGGCACTTACGGCCTTTGAGCAGGGAGGGATCTTTATCATGCCACCCCTGCTGTGACACGGGGCGTCGGTTTATGCGGTCTCATCCGAAAGACCGCCCCATTTAGTCGCCTTTTACGACAAACAAGGGGGTACTGAGGACCTATTCTGACCCGGATCCCCACGGGGTTGTAGTGTATTAGATGAAGTAATCAAAAGTTATTAAGCACGCACTTTAAAAAAAACTATTTATTCAAATGTTATTGATACAAACTCAGTCTGAATTTAAATATAACTTAATCTTATAGTTTTTAACTATTTTACTTCGATTGAACAATATATGGAATGTCACTTTTTCTAAAACAAAATATGGCAAACCCATGTAAAAGTCCATGATTTTTCCTTCAAATATCAATGAATATATTATAGGAATATACTTGTTTTTTCGAAGTGTTTATTTTTATTAAAAGAAAATAATTTAAAACTCTGTTTTGTAAAAATTCTTGTTTAACCTACATGATATACAATTTATACAATAATTTCATTTAAAAAAGCAAAAATTAATTGTATCACATTATATATATAAAAATGAATTATGACTGTAAAAACTCAACCTCCATTGTCCATTGATAAAAAGAATAGTTTAACTAAGTTCAAATTATTAATGAACTTCAGCAACACAGAATGTTGACTTGTACACGAAAAAATTCCTGAACTTAAAAAAGTCAAATTGTCAATGAGTAGTTTCTGTTATATCTTTATCAGAGTTACAAATAAAATGTGAAATTCATACTCTCAATATTGTTAGAGAATGCCATTAATTTGATTGAAAATGGCATTAATTGATTATAGAAACATCTTGCAAGGTTAGAATAATTTAAGATATATTCTATATTACCGGTAATTCGAAAAGAAGAAATGGAAATGGCAAAAACAATCATATTTGCGGTTTTCCGTCATTTTCACTGACCACTTTATTTAATTTAAACATATTTTTCTCATTCGTGTTGGGGATACAGCCTATTAGATAAACTTGTGCTTTATCAACGGGTAGATGATTTATTAATAGCACTTCCGGTTTTGACACGATCCCTCGCTTCAAGATTTTATCTTATTGAAACTTTTATTTGTGAAATTCATGGACATAATAAAATCAATGATAAGAGCAATAATACCGTTAAAAGCAAGAAAAAGACTCATATATGTCAAAGAAGCGTCTTACTTTATCAAGGAACCTGTATTGGCTAGAAAACAAAATGTTACCCCCCCCCCCCCTTTAAAGCGTCTTCGGAGAAAGTAAAGCCTAGCAGTTAAGTTGTTGTGTTAATGATTCCTTTAAGGACGTTTGATCCTGAGTTTTTGACTAAATTTTGGTCATGCCGTTTATTTATAAAATTCTGCAACATTTTTAAGTTCTAACATTAAATCTGAATTCTACAATGCAAATTGAACTATATTCAATGGAAAAACCGCCATTAAATTCCATTCAAGTAGAATTTAACTAGGGACTATATTTTGTGGCGGAAGGTTTTTTAACGAAAATGATCAGTTTTTCCCTTTTGAACTATAACAGTACTGTTAATTTTTTATTCCTATTTTTCCTAGCGCACAAAGCTGATTTTAGCAGTGAAATGTGTTATGCTGGTTCTGAAATATCTAATAAATTATTTGTTATGAATTCTATCAACAAAGTGTGACAAATATAGTAATATATTGTGAAAATCCGGGAAAAAATTGAGCCAATTTAAACTTAAAATTGACACTATTTTAGCAATATCTGAAAATTTACATCATGTACCCCCACTTTTTATATTCTTTTATAAATATTCAAGATAACTTTGACTTATCTGCTTAAATTCAGAAAAAAATTAAGACTTTAAAATAATTTTTTTTTTCTTATTTAATTTTAAATGCCGGAAAAATCATATTTTATTAGTGCAGAAAGGTCAAATAATTGATTATGCGTAGAAATTTGAAACATTTTCTTAGTCACAATTTTAAAGTGTCTTCTTTTAAACAGACTTAGAGTTCATTTTGTTTCATGCTTTAAATGGTTAAAAAAATATTTCAGGGAAAACGTCGAAAATGCAATTGTAATTAAGACACAAATTTCAGTGCGAAAAATTCACATTAAATGTACTGTAGCACCAAAAGAAGTAAATTGACCCCCATTTTTTGATTTGAATTTTAATTAAGCTATGTATGTAGAAACTAAAAATATACTTGGCAAAAAAAGTTTAAGACTTAAAATATCAGGATCGAACGTCGTTAACATCTTCAATAACGCTCTCTTATATTATACTACGTATGTCTACCTAGTAATGAAGGTGTAACTTACCATGGATCAACAATGTATATACAAGTAGGCCCCTAACGTTAGCCTTGCCTGACACATTTTGTATTGAATTCGTACAAAGTGTTAATTTTTACGATCCCATGGTCCTTACATCTTTCAGTCTGAAGTTTGTTTGATGCAAAGCTCCAGCAATTGTCACATAATGTTTTCAAAGACACGGACAGCAAAAATTCTAAATTTTGAACACGATTTACTTTCCTTCGAGGCATGTCAACATCAATGGTGCTACGTCATCAAGTTATACGTCATCACTTTGAATTTAGCAATCATTCATGTAGTTTAGCAGAGGAAGTCTCAAAGTTTTGTTTAAACGAAAGTCGCATGAGATAAGAACATCTATAATTGTGTGATTTGATACTGGCTTTTTCCAGCTCGTTGAAATGGTGTATATTTGCACGGCAAGCCCTGCGAATATATACACCATTTCAACTCGTTGGATAAAACCAATATCAAATCACACAATATAGATATCCCCTGTTTATTGTTTTTGGAGCTATTAAGATACATGTATTTGTAAACATAAATCATAAATTTGAACTTATTCTAATTTATATGCTTGTATCTGAATTATAATTAGAAGTACATGTAATCTAAAACAGGTTCAGAGGCAGCATTCGAAAAATAATTTACACATTTCATCGAATTGTATTTAAAAAAAACCCAACCCAAGAAGTTGAAATTTGTAACCATAAGATACCTTAAAGCTCCTTTTAGTAACCAAAACAAGCACATTTTAACGAGAAGTTTTAAGAAAAGGAGCAGTAAAATATAGTGGAAGACAGACCCTTATCACTGCGCAATATCCTCTGCTCTTGAACCAGTAAAGCAAAATGAAAAAAAAAACCACTTTCAACCCCTTTCAATTAATTTGCATTAAAACCATTCCCTAAAAATTTCTGAGGATAGTTGTCTAATGTTCTGATTTGTTGAACACACCATTTCCTTGTAAATATCTTCCATGGCGTATCCGTACTCCACTCTCTTACGATCTTCGACAGGATGACCAGGAAATTTTTTTTCGTAGAAACACCCTGGAGCACCACCCCTCACCATCAAAACAACACAGGGTTTGTGATTCTTTATGATAACGCCTGGAGAGCCAGACGATCCCTTGTCAAATGTAGTGTGAAATAGTATTTTTCTGGGTGGAAGACGGAGTTCAGCGTAGTGATCTAATCTATCTGGGAAATACTGAACGCTCCAGTTACTTAATTCACTAATGTATGTATCAACATCATTGTTCTGTTCAATAACTCTCGGAAAGACTTCACTGTCTTCCATCATCTGTACACCACCAGGATGCCCAATAAGGTGAACTTCCGACGGAATCTGCATTTGGCAAAATGAGGTCAAAGGTGGGGGGAAATGAACATCAGGTATTTCATGCCTCGACAACTCCAAAACAGCAAAATCAAACTCCTGATGTGTGAATCTAACTGATGCTTCAAATTTGAATATCTTTCTTGGATCAATGTTTTGTAGGTGTTGTTTTCTCTCAAATTGTATATATACTCGGATGGAATCAATGAAATGTGGTCTAGCTGTAAAATAAAATGAGGAGAGATATTTCAAAACATCAAAAATATTTTATATCTTCAATGTGCTAGAATGATTTTATTTTAATTTTCATTTTTTTATTGGCAATTTCCATTCTATAAGATTAAAGGTAATTTTATTATTTTGATTAAAGCATTACATCATATATTAAAATAGTGGGATGTTTTAATTCATTTTCTAGTCATATTATTCTACCTACATGTCATATTTGATAAGAAAATTATATTTTTCATACACTAATTAAAACCTTCTTTTCAACGATTATTGCCTTTTATGCATTATGAAGTGAAAATAATTTATTTTCTTTTTAAAGATGATTTCGAAAAAAAAAAAAACGAAATGTACTTTTTATTTGAATGATGTAAGAAAAAAGATAACTTGCAAAATAATTTTTAATTCTCTGAATATAAAGAATTTGATTTCATTCTTTTTTATTTTCTAAACATTATGACAGGTGCTGCATAAAATTTAAATATTAAAAAGATTAAACTAAAAATATGTCCACAGGACATGAAAGTCCGTCGTGGGTATATTAGTAATGCAACATGAAAAGAATGGATGGACTTAATTTGCCAGAAAAAATACCGTCAATCATAGATTTATAAAATATTTATTTCTTTCCTGATATCTTAACCGTGTATTCCTACATATCATTTAATTTCTATAAAGTATTTGATTCTGATTCAATAAAAAATTGTTTTGATAACTGCATTAATAAAATCTAGAGTTCGTTTGCACTAAGCAGCCAGAAATACCAGGATACTTCGGCTGTCTTTACATTTATAGTTCCCGCTTCCGGATTACTTATTACGGAATAATTAAATTGTTATACTTTAAAATAGTTTTTCCTGAATTTCGAATTGAATGATAAGAAACAAATGTAATATTTTCCCCTTTGATCGAGATATCAAAAAAAAAATTTGAACGGAAAACGTTTTCATCTAAGCGCATTGATGACTTTTTCCGTCCTCTTTTTTTTCTTTGATACTTCGATCAAAGGAAAAAAAATATTGCATTCATTTCTTAAGTCAGCAGATGTTTGTGGGCTGTTCTTCTGAAAACTGTAGTGTATATTAAACAAAATAGTGTCATAATAATATCGAAATTATGTCATTTTACAAGGAGAAGAGAAGATAAATGTGCGCTAACGTTATTTAACCACAAAAGCAAGTTTTATATTTAAAATCCAATTCGAGAATTTTTCACTCATATAGAGACGTCACCGTATGCCATGCAGTAAAGGGCTTCAAATTTAATTTATATATACTGAAAGGAAAAAGAAACGCAGGGTAACCTTTTGAGGTGAATTAAATTTGTTTGTCTTAAAATACTTTTTAGTTTTCCAATCAAACTTTTAAAATCATCTGTCTAAAAGATATCACCAAATTCTCATATGATTTTGTGTAATTATTCTTGAGTAATTGAAGCTCAAATGACGATACCCTCAAAGGAGAAAATCGAAAACTCTCATTATTTTCAATGTCCATCTCGTGCATCTCTCAGAGTCTTATTTCTCCTTTGCATGGAATTTCATCAGAGTGTTTATCTTTCAAACCCTGGCTATATTTAGCATGGGTAACCACGCCAAAAATAAGTCAAACGGCGCGCGCATGCGCCAGTGAGAGGAATACAACAGTTAGTTGACTGGCTCAAAAAACTAAATTGCGGAATTGTTTTCTTTCAAATTTCGTATGAATGTAATGATTATAATCGTGTACACTATAAATGGCTGTTTTTGTGGTAGTAGGGTGGCGATTTAAGAGATGGCAGGACGAATAACCCGCTCGTAACATGGCTCTGTTTCGCATTAACGTCATTGTCACGGTTGATTGAAATCCACTCCAGACCCTCACTGACAATGGCTAAAAAGTTTTATGGGGGAAAATTTACAAGAGACTGCTTAGTAAACCGTTGTTGACTTTTTCATTAATTAGGTAATTCAAAAACAAGACCCCATTGAACTTCCGTAAACTGTGCCAAGATTGCAATAAATTCATAATGTCTCTTAATATTGAAAAACGATGTGCATACCTCATATGCATCAAATAATGCAACAAGATTTGTGGACAAACACGTCGTTATCAAATTACACATGTTTTGGGATTTTTAGCGTTTTCCCTACGTGACGTCATAAATTTTACGGTTGAGTAATTCTGATTACTGATTTTGATGCACAGTAACGAAATTTCCCATCTGACCAATTTTCGTAATTTTCGGTCATGTAGTCAAATTTTTATCGACAATTATGCTACCCTGCCTTTCTTTTTCCTTTCAGTATATATACTCGGCACTCAGGGCCAGAGATAAGTAAGGGTTCCTTATTGTGCCAACATTTACCGTGATACGGTAATTACGTTTCTAAGGTCATATCCGAAAGACTCGTGACTTTCACTTCTAATGCTGCGTGCTTCGGTGAAGGAACCGTCACTATCTATGTTAACGTCTTAAGTATGACGCGGCGCGGGGAACGAGATCGTACCCAGGCTCCCGAATAACGAAGCGAACGCTCTATCACTAGGCGGCCGTGATGGGTCACTTTATTTTGAAAACCACGTAATGTGTACTACATGGAGGCTATTCACAAAATTAAATACCACAAGGGCATACCCTAGTTTAATTTAAAAGAAAATGTTACCCGTCGTCAAACAATATGAACTGTCACTACGCTATAGGGCGTGGCTTAATTTCCTTGTGGGTAATAGCAGTGATTATTAAGAAACGGTTCCCCTAGAATCAGATTCGACTAATATACATGAGAGAGTGGATAAAAATATAATTCAGCTACAAACCACGGGAGATTCAATAACTTTTTTTGAAATTGTTCTAAAAGACATACCGAGATAACCTTAGCTTTCTTGTAGTAAGTTTGTAACTTAATTTTGACAAAATTTTAGATCTTTTCTCATTTCAAGTTTTAAAGTCAGATATCCATAAAAATAACATATGTTCAATTAGAATTCAGACACAACTAGACACAATTTCAAAAAAAGTTATAGAATCCCCCATGGATTGTAGCTGAATAATATTTTTATCTATGAGATTGTGTGTTTTTATCTTTAAACCTTTACAAGGGTTTAACCACATCTGGAGTGCAACTGAAAGAAATTGAACCGGTAGTGTTTTCGAAAAAAAAAAAAGACATCGATTTTGAAAATCTATTTGACAATAAAATCAAAATAAATTATAAGTGTTAAACTAGAACTGATATACCATTCAAAGTTTAAAATACTATAATTATCGCCACCAGTACTAATAAAAATAAAGTATTTCTAATCATTCAGTTCTATCATGAGTGCAAAATTTGATGTTTTGCTCCCCAACATAAACAAGAGGCCCATGGGCCACATCGCTCACCTGAGAAGCTTTGACAATTCTGTTCTTTACCAGATTTCCCCCTTGTAATAAATTATGTATCCCCACCCTACCCCACTGATCATAATTAAGACATTTTGAAATCAACTACCCCAGGATCCTACCATGTGCAAATAAGTTTCAGCTTTTCTGGCCCAGTGGTTCTTGAGAAGAAGATTTTCAAAGATTTTTCCTATATATTTCTATGTAAAACTTTGATTCCCAATTGTGGTCCTGCCCTTCCCCCGGGGGTCATGATTTGAACAATTTAGAATCTACACTAACCTAGGATGCTTTCACATAAGTTTCAGCTTTTCTGGCCCAGTAGCTCTTGAGAAGAAGATTTTCAAAGATTTTTCCTATATATTTCTATGTAAAACTTTGATTCCCCATTGTGGCCCGGCCCTTCCCCCGGGGGTCATGATTTGAACAATTTAATATCTACACTACCCTAGGATGCTTTCACATTTGTTTCAGCTTTCTGGCCCAGTAGTTCTTGAGAAGAAGATTTTTCCTATATATTTCTATGTAAAACTTTGATTCCCCATTGTGGCCCGGCCCTTCCCCCGGGGGTCATGATTAGAACAATTTAATATCTACACTACCCTAGGATGCTTTCACATAAGTTTTAGCTTTCTGGCGCAGTGGTTCTTGAGAAGAAGATTTTTTAATGACCCCCACCCTATTTTTGTCTTTTCTTGATTATCTCCCCTTGCGAGGAGATATGTCCTTACTTTTTGACAATTTAAATTTCCCTTAACCCAAGGATGCTTTGTACCTAGTTTGGTCAAAATTGGCCCAGTGGTTCTTGAGAAGAAGTCGAAAATGTGAAAAGTTTACAGACGGACAGACAGACAGACGGACGGACGACGGACAAAATGTGATCAGAAAAGCTCACTTGAACCTTCGGCTCAGGTGAGCTAAAAAGTGGTAAATTTTGATAGACCATGTATGTACCTGAGCAGCTATTAAATTGAAATTCAGAAATAATAACATATTGTTATTCTTATTACTGACCTGAAAAAGCACCCTGAATTACATGTAGACATGTTATGATAAGGTCGTTTCCCACACGGAAACCTGTTCCTGAAGGATGTCCATCAATATAGATAAGTCCAATACTTCTGCTGACTTCAACTTTGATTTCACTGGCCATCACTTCTCTTTGAATGGCTCCTTTAGAGAAAGGATAAGTAGGTCCTATACTTGTCGGCATCGCATTTACTCTTGTATCCTAATAATAAATATATCAAGGTGAATTAAAATACAATCTACCCGGTACATGTACTTAATGCTTTATTACGATGTTTTGCTCACATTGGAAGTGCAATTTTAGATACATTCTTATCTATATTTAAGGTGAGTATTAACTGATTTCAAGAATTTAAGTAAAGGATATATGCCGAATACTGTTCTTTAACTTTTACATACAGAATAGTATGAGGCAGACATCTTACTTAAAACATTGTCATTCAAATGTCCAAAAGTTACCTGCAGGAGTCCGATAATTACACAATGGGAGTTTATAGGCAGGCATTGTTTTCTACCCGTCTGATAAGTAGATAAAAGAAATGAGACAGTAAAATAGTGTGTGAACCCTTGTTTCATTTTATTCATTCAATGGCAGTCGTTCACTTTAACAGGACAGGTGTTTGGTAGTGAAGGATTTTTTTTTTTATTTTGGAATTTTTTTAAAAATTTATTATGTGCATAAATTGAAATTAATATAGACACATTTTTGGGTTATATTATTAACATCACTATAAAAAGTAAAATAAAGTGGATATTTATGGATAAGTTTAAATTAATATAATGAAAATTTAAATGTTTTTAAAGTGCGGCCATCGGACATACATTGTATCTTATGAAAGGAATTTGCAGTCTTTCTCAGAAATCGATTTAACTTCGCTTATTCAAAGTTCTGTATCAGAAAAACTTTCCAAAATTGGAAAGTATTGAATATGAAAAAGATTTAAATTCGAATTTTTTGCATAGATTTGGTATTTGGAAATTACTTCATTCCCTTGCGTTTGCCTACCCTGAATTTTTCCCCTAATTTTTTTTTATAGCTGAACCTTTTTTATTTATCTCTTCTTTTTTGCTTTATAAATACCGTTCCCATAATATGTTATCGGACTACTACATGAACATTTTTATACTACAAGAACAAAAGCATGACGTCAGAGCAATATACAATATATGTTCAATGTATTAATTGCAATTATGATAGGTGTATAATCATTAATGCGTCAACTTCAGTGAGAATCAATAATATAATTTATTTTCAATGCCAAACATTGGGTCATCTTTAGATTAATTAACGGTTAAGCTTTAAAACATGTAGAAAAAAACATAACAGAATATAATTATAATAATAGTTTCATTTTGAGAATAAAATATTCTACATTTATGTTCCTGATCAATGATGACCTTACTATGGAGCTGTTAATGAGCTGTGATGAGACTATGATGCTAATTTTACTTCTACTTGAAAAGTTGGAGGCAGGTTAGGGGCAAATTTCATTGTAAAGAAATGCATTACATTACCATTACTTCAACAATTCGGGCATTAAATTATCAGTACCATTACTCTATTTTCTTAAGGTAATGCATTCACCACTTTACCATTACTTTAGTTAAGTTATGCATGACCATTACCATTACTTTTGGAGGTTTACAAAACTTTGTAATTTCATTTTTCATAAACATGCATCTTACGTTAATTTTTTTTTAATTTTGAAGAATTGTTCAGTGTATAAATAGTTTAAAACTGCATTTTGTGGTGGACATAAATTTGTGGGACTCTTCATACTTTGAAAACAACGAAAATTAAACCCCCACGAAAATACATGATTTCACAGTAACCGTGATGCTAAGGAAAATAGCTCTAGCGGGGCCGCTAAGTTTAACGGTCGAAGGGAAACTTTGAATTAAGTAGTTGAGACATGTACCCTGCTAACAGGTACCATTATATTTTTCAAAAATGTACAACTTATCCATGCATGCTGAAAAGGAAAATGATATTTTCTTCTGCCAAATGAATGATGTATATTAACTTTGATACAAGTCATGTGTTTGATAAGTTTCAATATATGATTATTGAGTATTAAGAAATTATTACAGCTTGGTTTTTTGCACAAATTAAGGTCTCATTGTTATAATGTAAAATTGTGTAAGGTGACAACAAAATATATTTGAAAAATAATTCATAACTTAATTTTGATCATATTTCAATACTTTAAACATTATGCACACATAAACATTAGTAGGATTTTCATATGCTCTTGGATGATATATTATGAGAGTTTCCAAATGAATTTTTCATGGTTTCTCCTCAAATAGAACCGTCTTTGTATCCGTTCATTTTAAAGCATACTTTTGCCATGCTTTAATACACAAACACTGCAGTTCATGTAACTTCTGTATTTTTCTGTACACTAATATGACACTAAGGCGCAAGATAAAAGATTTATTTTTCATCTGTTCAACTGCTTTTCAAGTTTAAGGTAGGACCAAATAGATAGGTCAAATTTTTCCTCAAATTCAATTTTTCTAAACCTTTGATATTTTTTTCTTGGATACAAAATCTCTCTTTATATATGATATGAAAGTAATTCAACTGCTCATTTTTTGCCCACATAGTATGAAATATGGCCTATCAGACCCCTGTAAGAAGATTGTGAAATCAGACATTCGACTTCAGAATGAGCCTTATTTTATAATTTTCTATTAATCTATTGCGAATTTGTGTGATACTTTTCATAACGATAACCTTTTTGTTACTTTAAATCAGTAAGTCACATTGATACTGAAAAATTTGGGTAAAATGTTAATTAAAATAGGGTATTACTGTCTCATGACAGCATTTAGTTGAATCTTTTTCTCCTCTTGATCTGTATAATAAATACGAATTTCTTTTTAATTTGCATCGAAATTTATTTATTTCTCTTGTCACATTTTAAACATTTACAAGAAGGATATAGAGATAACGAGCAGTATTCAATCTCAAAGTCCATAAAACAATACAAAATAAGAGCAGAGCAAACACGGACCCCTGAAACATCAGAGGTGGGATCAGGTGCCATGGAGGAGTAGCATCCCTTGCCGACCGGTCACACCCGCCGTGTGTTCCTTGTCATGATCAGGAAATAACGGGAGAAATCCTGAAACAATTGTGGTTAATAGCCATCCTGGCCCTGAAATTGAGATCATCGAAAATTTTGCCTTTTCACTCTGCCATTTTGGTTTGCAAGACAATATGGTCGATTGCACTATGTTCAGATGTTATCTAAGCCAGATCTCGATAGAGGAGAACGGAAGTAAGAATTCGAAAGACCTAATACAGAACAACCTAACACACTTTTTGTGCATAATAAATATACAATTTGTTCAGTGGAAGGCACTGTATTTCTACGGTCTGTAAATAAATATTTCTTCGGAGAGATACAAGTTCTGCAGCTTAATTCGAAGTCCCTTTTAAGACATATACATATATTGAGAAACGGAAGTTTCAAGACACGGACATTAAATATAATACAGATACTGGGATAATACAGAATTTTAAAGCATTCTTTAAAAAGATATAAATGTCATTGTGCCTCTTCTGTGATATGAATCGGGGCGATATTTTACTACTGTTGTTCAAACCACAGGCGACGGGCAACAAACGGCATAAGTACAATCAAAATCGTTATCTACAATTTATTCGGTATTTTCAAAATAATTTGTATTCATATTTAAACACAGGTATTTAAAGTTTTCTTTGTCCACTGATAGGACTTTAAATAAAAGGAAAATAATCTTACTCCGTGTCATTACTATCAATACTAGGAAAAATACGTCGGTAAATATCTTTTTTTCTTTCATATTGAACTCTTGCATATACATTGTATTATATTAGTCACTTTTGACAACCAACACTATTTAAGTATAAATTAGATATGTACAAATTAACTTATATGCTGAGTATAAAGGTAATTGTTGGATGTGAAAGTATCTAATAACTCATTTATTACTATTATTGCTATTTAGCAATTGTAAAGAATATTTTCTCTTTTTTTGCAAATTAGTGATGTCGTACTGAATATATACAATATACATGATTTTTGTGTTCGTTAAACTTTTTTTGCAACTTACTTAGTTCATTTCACTACATCAATAACTGATACAAAGAAGATAAAAACTTCATACATGAATAATTGCAATTAATGTTAATACCAGCTTTCTTATTTGTTCAATACTACTAGTGAAGAGGTGAAAATGTTAAATACAACGCATGATGCCTGAGGCTTGTCACACGACGGATGATGACAGACAAAAAATAATAAAACTCAATAAAAGGTCAATTCAGGTCTAGTAAATGTCTTAAGAATATTTTTCTGTTGCTAGATCCATTATGACTTCATGATCACTTTCAACTGTCTTTTCTCCCATACTTTACGGCACTAATTTAAAGAATTATGTAGAAAATAAAGTATTTTCAGGGAATTCAATTTGAAATCAAATGAAAAGTAGTTTCGATACCTATATCAAATTTGACATTATTTTAAAGAAAAGATCATGGACATACAGATTATCGTTTTCTGAGAGACTGTAGGCAATCTGAGTACATTTTCGTGGTCTAATATGGAGAAAAATCCCATATTCATGACTGAATTTTTTAAATTTTTAATGGGAATTGAGAGTTTAAAAAATATATATAAGACCTTAAGTTAGTAACACATGTGACCTAAATGAGTTACAAAAATAAGAATAAAAGCAATGTATTTTATATTTATTGTATTTAAAAAAAGACTTACCCATTGTTTGCGTTCCACCTCCTGAAATAATAAGAAAAAAGAACTTACTTAAGTGGAAGTGTAAATCTACTTTATTTCCATGTAAATAATCCTAAAAACAATTTTTATCTTTGAAGCCTTTTAAATAGAATATACATTTTTTATGAACATTTATCATATTCAGTGGGCTTTTTTCCCCTGTTTTGAATTAAATCCCAAGTTATAACATTGTATTATTTTCGTATTATTTTTTCTTAACAATAGTCGACTCATTTGTTTTATTTCAGAACTCGTTCAATTTATTTGTTCTTCATGTTTAAATAAATTTTCAACACTTCCATACATTGTACAATATAGTTGAATAAACTGAAATTTTTCATACTTTTTCATACGTTGTCGTGTCCTAATTATCTCAGTCGATTGCTAATCTCCATTATAATTAATGCCTGAGAATATACTATATATATTAGCATTATACTCATTAGCGTCTTTAAGATGTGAACTTCCATTACAATGTAGTATACTCCATGTATTTTGAACTGTACCCTTGATCCCAAAATCGGCATGAACATTTTTTTGGTTTCAATGTATTTTCTTTTCATAAATTTCTGTGTAGGTGATGAATAAATTACATATAAGGAGTGCAAATTACTCAGAAACAGAAAATCATGTCAGCTAGTGAATGACATAAGATCTATCCATTAAATAACTTTTTTTCAGATTCAAAGATGTTGATGCTATTTATTGTACTTATTCTCTTGTGATACACTGTTTTGCCCTTATTATGTAATTTGTATGTAAGATTTACGAGCGAATTTGTTTTTTTGAATATTCCAAGTGCTTTTGCTTTTATTTAGATTTAGAAAGATATCCTAATTTAAACGAAAACTTTGTACTATCGAAAACGAAAGTAATCGACCACGTGTTAAACTTTTTTATTAAGGATATTTCATGTGCCAGCAAATAAGCATTATCGTTGTTATATAACTCAGATAAACTTCATAATAATTATGCCGAATGATATATAAAAGTGTAGAATTGAAGTAATCGCTTTTATTTACAATTGTGTCTCAGATGTGATTAAAAAATACAAATATTGATGATGAGTGCACAAAAGTTCAATTTTATTCCACATATATGAAAATAACAAGAATTTCTTACCAGGAACATGCTTAAGGATCTAATATCATGGTCTTCAGCGAATGGGTGGAGGGGACATTTTTTCCCTTGGTGTCTATACAAAGTCTCCTCTGTAATAAAAGTGTTGCTTAACTCTTTACCAAACTCTGTTGGTGTGCAGCTATACCCAACTTGATAATAAAGGTCGCTGTTAAATGTTTTTGTAAGAGAAGACAGTATCTCCAGCACTTCTCTTTTAACGTTACTAAAGTTCATCTGTATTGATATTTCTTGCGTCTGATCGTCATCATCATACAGCATCAACTGTAAATAACTCTCACTTGCTCCTAAAACTAAAACGTGTTCTTGAAAATAAAACATAGCAGTGTCAATATAAATACACTTTCTTCTTTTTTCTTCCTTCAATGGTTTCAACCCTCTCTTCAAACAAAGCACAATCAGTCTGTAGAAGAGAAAGACGGGCAGAACAGGGAATCTGATGTACAGAGTCGGTGTTTTATTTGGATGTGAATTAAACTTTGATTTAACGTGCTCTGGAACTTTCATTATATTCATACTTGGAATAAAACAAATATCAGACTTTTCCTCTATCGCCATGAGACCCAATCGTTCCATGCATTTCATCATATCATCCTTGTATTCAACTGCAGTTTGATTTTTCGTAACTGTCCAGATTGCTTTCAAGAATGTGCCTGAGATCTCTCCTGTAGTTGTAAATGTATCTAGCGCCTCTCTAGTGGGAGCTGCATCTATGACTTTGTTGAAACTGGCTTGTTTTGAATCAGTCATTACGTATTTAAATGAATTGACAAACCACTGGATGTCAAGAATTACAATTTCAGGACCAAAATAAAGTTGATCATTTCCATTTTTTTCTTTAAATGCAAAATACAGAATCACACCCATATCATGATAAAAGCGTAATAAGTCTTTGAATTCCCGTCTGCTTAAAGGAAGCAATTCATCAAATCATTCCTTTAATTTGTCCAGTTTCTGAACCTTTGTTTCTTTTTTCTCTGAGATGAATTTCTCAAATAAAGCCCAATCCAGGGGAATTTCTTCTCCCCAATGTTTTTGTGACGTAATAACTTCGACAATTTTTCTTTCTAATTCATCAACACTTTCAATATATGCTCCATAAGGCTTTTTGAGACTTGATGAAAAATATCTTTCGCTGGACAAGTGTGTTTTAATCGTTGAGGACCCAGGAAACGCCGTCATAAGTTCTTGGTAATATCCAGTCATTTCCTTGAAAATATGAATGAATACATGAATTGCTGTCCTGTTCGTAATTATAAGCTACAAATGAATTTAAATATTAAAAAAATCGCGCAACTAGGTTAAGGACTTCCAAAGGTTGATCAGCCTATGCATAGGTTTGGAAAATCGATTATGATGTCACAGTCAAACTATACAAATAAATGTCGGTTAAGAAAATACTAGTTTTCATTTTATCACACTCTCACATACAATCGTTTCTCATAAATATTGTACACATTAATCAATGTGTAACTTTTTTCCATTATAATATTAATTGTATGTATAATCAAAGTCAGTTTGGTACCTCTGCACTGACTGGAGATGACGCCATACACTACTTTGACACGCAGTTTCTTGGTACTTGGGATGTAGATCAAGCTATTATTAAAGCTTGTAAATATGAAAATAAAAATTAAAGTAGCACGATTTGATTAAAATTCAGGTATATTTTTGAAAACATAAATATTTACATACTTATTAAAATTAAAGCGAATAGACCTAAAATAAAGTCGAAGTAATGTACATTTATATATAAATGTACTACACTCTCTGCCACAGCTCCTCGAAGTTCAACGATATCAAGTTACCTATAAATTATGATTTTAAATGGTAAGAGTAACTTTTTCCATCAAAGTCCTTTGAATTCGAACCAAATTAATTTTACTTAAATATAATACCGTTTTCCACATCATTACAGTACCACCACCAACTTCTTTAAGGTCCTGGAGGCAGTTAACTGTCTAACGTTCATTACAAAGCATTAGCGTTCTTAAACTTATAAGAGGCTTTCCGATAAACATTCTGGACTAGTAGCTAAACCAAAATGTTCAGCGGTGATTCTGTGGTCATACTCTATTGATCTGAGATCTTTGAAGTCGATTTTGGGGGTGTTGTGGGGTCGGAACAATAGCATTGATAATCTTCTTGCAATAATTCGTAGTCAACTAAAACGGTCTTGTTAGATGATCTGTGCAGTTTAGGGGTGCTTCAGATGACGTCATTATGTTACATTCATTCAATTTACGTAATACTCTGAAGTGGTGCTGTGCTGCTGATGTCACACGTAGTCTACCGTGTTTTTACGAACATTGGGTGTTTGATGTTAATGGCTTATGTTTTTTAGGTTAGATATGGAGCTGTGCGTAACAATAAAACCTTTTGCACTTGTAGACTGCGGTAGCCCTGAGTCCAGTTGCTCATTTTCCTTTTTGTGCTATGCACTATTCAGATGCAGCATTTTTAGAAAGCGTCAATGTTCAAATAAACCAGATTCACACCCCCGCTTTTGATAGCCCCTATGTACCTGAGGGAATTGCATCAGAAATCAACACATTGAAATTAAAATTTTAGGGGGAATTTTGCAAAATCAGGTCTTTTTGTCTGTGAGACTTGTAAAATAGTTGTAAAGTTAATAACTGCATTACAAGAATCACGCATTTCACTTGAATGTATCATATCTATCTAAACAAAAGGTATGGCAAAACTATCATACATTTTTCAGGGCATTGCTTCTTCTATGCGTTTCTTTTTTTCTTTCTTTTTTTTTTTGATGAGTTTATCATTAAATTTTTACGATCTATGTAGCTTCCGAGGCGTATAATGTTTTTGTCCATTTTGTTTGTCTGTTTATCTGTGTAGCTGTTTGTCTGTCTGTTGTCAACTTTAACCTTCGCCATAACTTTTGAACCATGAGAGATAGAGACTATATATTTGGTATGCATATTTCACAAATTTAGTTCAAATGACATCAAGGTCAATTACCTTGTGACCTTGACTGTGATCTATATGCTGAAAATATCTTTTTCGAATTATCGCCATAACTTTTGAACAACAAAAAAATGAGACTTCATATTTAGTGTGCATAGTCCACTAATTAAGTTCTTTCAAATGACACCAAAGTCAATGATCGAACTTGTGACCTTGAATGTGACAAAAATTTCAAGGCGCGTTTCCTATTGGCGTCCTTAACCTATGGTTGTGCGTCATGAATGATTTATAATTGCGACTAAGAAACGGCTAGGGACATACCTGTTCCGATTTTCCCTCTGCGTGAGTAGCAACAAGAATAACGGGGGCCTCATTTCCACAGTAACAATGGACAGATTTCAACCAAAATAGAAGAAAATCTGCAAAATGATTTACCCAAAACTGAATGTGTAATTTACCAAATTCAGGGTATACTCTTATAATTATTAATTGTTTGTAGACAAAGCATAATTCTGATCATTACATAACGAATATTTAATTTTGTTCTGTTTCCTTTTAATGACAGTTTTTGGGGAAGATATAAGAACAATGAAATTTTATTCACCGAGCGATAATAAAACATTGCAATACAGATGTTCAGTATCATACACCCGTCCATTAAAATGTTTCCTTTCAAACTATTTATTTTAATTTGTTGTCTGTGTCTGCTCTTTTAAGTGTGATTTGCAGCGTCAGTCTGTATTTTGTCTAAAGGAAAGTTGTTTTCTAGGTATTCTTATGATATTTGCAACTAAACAAAATCTAAAAACATAAAAAGACAAGAAGTAAATGTAATCTATGTGTTATTTTAATAGGATTAATTTATTTTCGTGTATATATACATCAATATGGCAGTTTTAGAAGTATAGGGCATTGAAATAAAACACTTTGTAATTATTCCTTAGACAACCAGATGGTCGACATTTTTGAAAGAATGAGAGGACTTCACGCCCTATATTGGATCTTTTTGCTCCTCTACCATGCTTGAAATAAAGTGAATCCAAATATACTACATTCAATAGAAAGTGCAACGAATACAAGGTTATTTTAAGTAGAACACTTGTACAAGAAGAGGTTTATGGCCTAGGCCCCATCGTTCACGTGAGTAAATGGGGAAATGCAGTTCTTTACCGGATTTCAACTCTTATTATACCTACTGTGGCCCCTTACCCCACCAAATCATGATTTTAATACTTTAGAAGCTACACTACCCCAGAATGCATCCACATAAGCTTAAGCTTTCCTGGGGCTTTAGTTCTTGAAATGAAGATTTTTTCCTATACATTTCTATGTAAAACTTGGATTTCCTATTGTGGCCCCAACCAACCCATGGGTCATGATTTTATCAATTTATAATTAACACTACCCCAAGGATGCTTCCACATAAGTTTCATCCCACTGGCCCAGTGATTCTTGAGAAGAAGAATTTTAAAGATTTTTTCAAATATGAAGGATATGGAATGATTGATTGATTGTATACTGTTTAACGTCCCTCTCCAGAATATTTCACTGATATGGAGACGTCACCACTGCCGGTGAAGGGCTGCAAATTTAGGCCTATGCTCGGCACTTACGGCCTTTGAGCAGGGAGAGATCTTTATCGTGCCACACCTGCTGTGACACGGGGTCTCGGTTTATACGGTCTCATCCGAATGACCACCCCTTTTAGTCGCCTTTTACGACAAGCAAGGGGGTACTGAGAACCTATTCTAACCCGGATCCCCACGGGACTGAAGGATATAGAGATATCCTATATAATTCTATGCAAAAATTTGATTCACAATTATGGCCCCGCTCTACCCGCGGCGGTCATAAATTTATAAATTTAGATTTTACACTAACCAAGGATGTGGCCAAATAAGTTTCAGCTTTCCTGCCCAAGTGGTTCTTGAGAAGAAGATTTTAAACATTTTTTCTATATACGAGGGTTGTCCCGTAAAATCGTGGACAAAGCGTTTTTCTCGAAAAGTAATGGGTGCACTAAGCTGAAATTTTCAGTAAATGTTTATTCATCATATTTAAGTGTATCATAATGTTTTTGATAATATATATACAAAAATAAAGATTTTATTATGCTTGAATGTGCACAAGGTACGGTCCTACGGCGCACGGTAAAAATAACAAGGTTGTATTAGAGAATATACAAGTATTAATTCGTAATAAAAGTTTTCAATACATAAGATTAGGATGAAAACTATCCTAATTCGATTCCTTAATCAATTCTATCGTCTTTTTGAAAATTTCAAGGCATTTGGTTAAATTTTGGCTGTTTCCCGAGCATTCGAAATGGAAAAGTTGTATACACAATACACGAAAAATGGCGACGTTTCATGACGTTACGGCGCACCGGAGAGCAGTTCAGTTAGATTAGGATGTTTTAATGACACTTTAAAAGACTTTAAATGAATACGGAAGAACGAAAATATGAAAAATATCACCAGATTTTAGTATACAAATAAAATGGACGTTTTCTTAGCGAAGTCTTCTTGATTGAGTCCCCAGATAGTACAAAACATCCGGGCAGAATGCCATTGTAATAGTAAAAGACGCTGTCACTGTCGACCGTCGATATGAGATTCTCATTTAGTTGACTGATGGTGAGAATACTGTCCGTAACTTGCTCATAAATATTCAGAAAATTGCATGAGTGTGCCGCATTGGTTCCTTAACTGGTAATAAACACTCACGTATGTGAATCAATAAAATTTCTAAATTTAAGTGGGGCTTATCCAACTTTATTTTAGCAAACATGAAGCGTGACGCTGTTTCAGACACGTCAACGTTATCATCCGTGCGCCGTAGGGCGCTACAGTACATAACATAATATATCACAATTTGCTTATTTATGCATATATCTATTTGAAATTTGCTATGTATATTTATAATATACGTACTAAAAAGTAGTGAAACTTTCAGAACGCAGTGATGATTATTTTTCAGACTAGACAACTTGTCCACGATTTAACGGGACAACCCTCGTATTTCTATGAAAAATTTGGATTTCCTATTGTGGCCCCGCCCTTGTCCCGGGAGTCATGATTTTTATAATATAAAATCTACACTACCCAAGAATACTTTCACGTAAGTTTAAGCTTTCCTGGTCGGGTTGTCCTTGAGAAGAAGATTTCTTAATGACCCAAGAACATCCAACAAAAATGCTCTCTATTGATATTCAAGAAATCTTCAGGCACCATGTTTTATTTATGTATTTAGTTAACTTCGAAAAGAGCTTTTTAAATTCACATCTGTACCATGAATGTACGGTTAATTAAGATAATGTGAAACTTCAATTAAAGGCATTTTTACTGGCCAGTAAAGCCCATCCATTCTTTCATGTATGTGTCCAAAAAAGAAAACAAAAATAGAAATCGCTACAGCAGAAATAAAAAATAAGGAAAAATATAACTTAACAATTGTATATTCTACTGCCACTTCAGGAATTTTAACTACAATGCAAGAAAAGTATGATGATGAGGAGTGAAAAATTGGATAAATATGGTCATTTTGTATTTATTCAAAGCAAATTAAACCTAAGAATTCACACTCAGGTTGGCCAATAAGGGCTGTCGTTATCAAGCGATATATTTTTGGAGATTCCCCTTACCCCTGTGGCTCCAGTTTGAGAACATTGTATCCTTCTGATCGCAGAGCTCCTCATCTATGACATCTTCCAAGTTTTTAGACATGTCAACTACCAAGATGTAGAACGCTCGTTTACTGAGGTAGATCTGATGACAGGCGTAATACATGCACTGTCCTCCGAAATCCAAGATACTTAGAAGCTTCTTTTCCTCTATTTTTTCTGCATCATCAACTGGGACATTTTCTTTAATGTGGATTGCAGGCTCGCATTTACGTACAGCAACTTAAAAATGGAATATGTAACAGTTTATTTGAATATCAGTTGCAATATACAGTGATTCATGTTGATATAATTTTTTTTAAATGTACATTGTAAATGTAGATACTTGGATAAAGGGGAAAGTTAAATATATATAAAAAGATTTTTTATATTGACTCTCTCTCTCCCTCCTACTCTCTCTGGTGATCTACCAACAAAGACAACTAATTTGCCATGCACATACTTTTACCTTCTAATTCTCCTTCCTTTTCCAGTACTTCAAAAATATCATTGTGGACATCTAGTCCCACAGTAGACTTGATTTTTTGTATGTCCTCCAGTGATTTCTTCTGTAGTCTTTCTAATAAAGTTGTTTTTCCAGCACCAGCACAGCCTAATATCATTCCCCGCGCTCTATATATGGGTGCTTTTCCTTTTTTCAAGTACTCTAAGTATCGATGTCGGGTTTCTATATCCCATCGCAACACCTCTTCAGGGATTTTCACTGAAAAGAAATAAAGTGTCTAAGGAAATTTACTTCAAGTTACTGGCTGTCAATCAATTTTTACAAATGCCATTAATTTTTCCGTGTTGCACATCTTTCTGAATAGTATTAAGAAAATTCGTAAAGTAAGAACGGGGTCGGTCTGGAGCGGAAAAAGATTCTAGTCAATAATTTATTTTTATATTGTGTAAATATTTTATTTAGTATGTCTAACTTTTCAAAGCAGTTCTTTCATCAGATATCTAGACTTATTTAAGAAAAACTGCCAAACAAAAATTGCTCCGCACAGTATCTGCACATGTATAAAGTTTTGATTCTTTGCGTATAGGGATCCTTTACTGAGTCTCTGATGGAACTATAAATATTCTAAGGACATATCTCTTGAAATATTCAAAATATAAACAGAATTTTAAAATTCATTAAACAAAATTCTACTTAAAAATGTAAACGGATTGGAAAATTTATTCCCTTTTTAAGAAATTTTCAAAAAATTCTGTCAATACCTCTTTGAAAATTTACTATTAAACTGATTTTCTATTTCGTAGCAATCAACTGAGGCCAAATCGTTAGATTTACGATTAAACCGAAGTTCTATTTCGTAACAATCAACTGTAGCCATATCGTAAGGTGAAGCTAACAGACATATTTGAAAATACATAAGCAGAGAAAAAATGCTTTATGTTTATTTTTTCCAAGTACGAGAATTGCAACTGTGACATCACACAAAAAATTACACAAGAAAAGCCTAAATCTACTTACCTTGTCATTTGCTAAATTGTTAAATTGTTTTAAAGAATTTATGATTGTAAACACAAGTACTTTAAAGTCAACCTCAAAAAGATGCTTGAGTTTCTCATTGACAATTTCTATGTCATTTGACTTTAGAGACCGGTCTTCTTACAATATATTGGAATTCCCTTAGGTACCAATATCGCCCCGTTATAAGCAGACCTATTTTTGTATTTTTAGCAGAATTTGTGCAAAATCTTATGCGTGAAAAAAACACTTGCAGTGGACTACATCGACGACGTATTGTCAATTATTTAACAATGGTTATTTCAATTAAATTCTGGTAAATAAAGAAATAACCACATATTTATAAATGATTTTACCTGAAAAAGTTTTCTTTCTTCTCAAGATAATTATCACTTACAACAGGATCACAACTGCCCAGGGGAACAACTGACTAGTGTCAATCTACACAAAGGGGGAATTTTTCAATCTGACTTACATGGTTTTCGAAGTCAGTTTTGGAGAGGAAATTATTTTCATATACGCATATGTATGTTATGTTAAAATAAATCTTAATCTAACCTATTCCAACTGTAACCCAGGATCGGTATATTGCTGAAAAAATGGTAAAGAGCACCATCTTAACTTTGGTCCCTGAAGCTCTACCTTAACAAGGGAGTTGAACAATATATAGGATGGGATAATCGTAATCAGTAATCGTAATCAGCTGTAATCGATTACAGATTGCTGAGTAATCATAAGTAATCAGTAATCGTTCATTTTTATGATTACAAGTAATCGTAATTTAATCGATTCCTCTGAAAAAAAAGTCCTGTAATCATGATTACTTTTTTATTACTTTTATGATTAAAATGGTAAAATTAAGTGCTTGGAATCATAATTCATTAAAGATATTCAATGACTAAGGTTGAACGGTCTTTAAAATTGCTAGAGCTTATATTCCTTTATTGCCCAAAGGCAAATACAGTGAGAGAATCCTGCTAATTCTACAAATGTACCTATATAACAGTCATTGCTTTGGGGCATATTAGAAAACAGTTCACCTACTTGCTTTATACCTAAGAAATATTATCTTAGGGGCAATTTGAGTTTGACTTTGTTAGTATCAACATGTCTGCTGTCCAACATTTTGAGTTTCCTGAAAACCAACCACCAGAGTGTATTGTAAAAGCCAAGTGTAGATACTGCTCTGCACAGATATCAGGGAATGCAAAAACTTCAAATTTTGTTACACATCTAAAGGTAAGTTTGTCTTTTTAAATAAATAATTTGCTTAGTATATGTCTCAGAATAACATGTATGAGCTATAGAGTTTCAAATTTTAGTGACTTATAATGAATTATAACTTTCACTATAACTATGGCAGTTATACCAGCTTTGGTACATAAATGTATTAAACTATAAAATTTTCTGCATGTGAACCTTCATTTAAAAAAAAAACAGCAGATTTACTTATAAAAATTCCAAATGATGAATGATGTGCTATAAAGGTTGGCTTGGCATGGGTAATTATAATTTAACAGTGTTATATCAAGCCTGACCTGAGTTAACCATTGTGCTAATCCTTGTAAAAACATCTTCCAATTGTTGTCTAAATTACTTCCCTCATGTCAACACTGCCAATTACATGTAAAACAGTTTCTGTCTCTAAACTATATTTCAAGCTATAATTATGCCTTATTTTGTTGATTAATTTAAGGTTTATTCTTTTCAGAGGAAACATAGAGATATTTACATGAGAAAAAAAGATGATCAACCAAAAATCTCAAATGTCTATGGAAATATTTACCCAAGCTTCTTCAAAAAACAAGTACAATTCAAATGATTCAAACCAGAAGCAGATTACTGAGGCTTTGATTTCCTTCATAGCAGGCAGTTTGACACCACTTTCAATTGTTGAAAATCCGGAAATCCGGCTGTTAATTGAATCATTGAATCCCAAATATCAGCTACCTTCTCGTAAACATTTTCTACAAAACTTCTCCTGGATAGGTCAGCCAATATTCAAAGTAAAATAAAGAACAAGTTACAATCTGTGGAGAGTGTGTGCGTGAATATTGACCTCTGGTCGAATCGACAAATGAAGGGCTTTCTCGGTATAACAGGTCACTTTATACTGGATTGGTGCATGGAATCAATCATGGTGTCATCTAAACAATTTAAACTAAAAGGCCAACATTGTGAAGAAAACATACGTCAAGAATATGAGGAAGCAGTGGCCTGCTATAATATAGCAGAAAAGATAACCAACATTGTGACAGACAATGCTTCAAATATGGCTAAAGCCTTTCAGTTTGTTCTGCCCGGATTCGAATGTGAGAAAGATACAACCTCGAAAGAAGACACATGTGAGTCAGAAGATGAAGATAAAAATGATGATTCTAGTTTGGAGCCAGTAGAATTCAACTATGCTATTGATGATATCCCCAAGCATGGAAGATGTTTTGCACACACTTTACAGCTAGTTGTCAAAGATGGGATGAAGAAAGTTAGCCCGCATTTAAAAACAGTCATTCAAACATTGTGAAATATGTAGGGAAATCAATTTAAAGCTACTGAAATCTTGGAAGATGAAAAAAGACTTCAAGCTGATAATGCAACTCGGTGGAATTCACAACTAACAATTATCCGTTCCATACATGAGATGCCTGAGGCAAAACTTAAAAAAACTGGACACAATTCACTTAACTGGATATGAACGAAATTATTGCAGGAACTTTGTTTGGTTCTTAAACCATTTGAAGATGCAACATTGATGGTGCAGCAGGAAAAAATGTTTCTGGAAGTTTAGCCATCCCAGTTATTCTCGGCCTTGAGCACAAGCTTGGAGAACTCTCAACTACTCATAGCAATAAGATGGTGTCCACGTTGATATCTTCAATGACAAAAAGACTCGCAGTATACAAAAAAGATGATATTTATCAACTTTCTGCGGCACTGGATCCAAGATGATTTAAACTTCGTTGGTCAAAATCCCTTGTTGACATAGAAGAAAAAATTCTGTCATATGCAAGGAGGCATGATTTAGCTATTGAAACCTCTAGTGATGATGGATCTCCTCCAAGGAAAGTTAGTAAGATTGATAACGGACTTTTCAGCTTTATGACACCCACAAAGCAGGGGAAGAAACGACATGTTTCTGGTGATAATGTGAAAATGGAAGTATCACAGTACCTGCTTGGGCCGTATGAAGAAACAAATCCACTTCAATACTGGAAGGAAAATGCAGACAGATTTCCTATTCTTGCACAACTTGCCAAAAAATACCTCAATGTACTTGCAACTTCTGCACCAGTCGAACGGCTTTTTAGTATTGCTGGGAAATCTTTAGACCAGATAGATGCAGACTTAATGACTCAACATTTCAAACTCTGATGATGATAAAGTGCAATGAAAAAGCTTGTAAATAAGTACAATGAATTGGAATCAGAATAAAGATTGCTGCCAAAAATACATTCTAGTGTCTTACTTAACCATATTAACTATAAAAATATAATAATACAAAAAATATAATGTAATCGAAAGTAATAACAAGTAATCATGATTACAAGAGGGAAAAGTAATCTAATGTAATCGATTACTTTTAAAAATAGCAGTAATCAGCTTGTAATTAATTACTTTTAAAATCCAAAGTAATTGTAATTTAATCGAGTACTTTTGAAAGTAATTGACCCCAACCCTGACAATGTAGAGTCTTTTTTTTTTAGAATAGGAAATAATTTTTATTCCTTTTATTCTTGCTGATGCAGTTATTCTTGATAAGATGAACTTTAAAGATATATCCCGGTATATTTCAAGAAAGAGAGAGTGATAGCATGTAAAGAAAAGACACGATACTTACACTGGATTGAAATAGAAGGATGCAATGCTTTATCATCCAAGATGCCATGAATGAGTATATCTTTTCCAAGCTTAGAAATAATCATTGTAAATATCTCTTCATAAGACGTCTCTTTTCTATGGTCTTTGACAAAGCAGCGAACAAATTTCCCTTTTCCCTCGAAATTACGCGATCTAAAATATCTCACAGAACTCTCTAGCGACACTTTAAGTAATTGTCTTTTAATAAAGGAATTATATTGAATGTTAGTCATTAAGGATTTAAACACGTGTTCATTTGGACCATAAACTGTGCTCCTCTCCCTACATGTGTGTACGTAATCAAACATTGTTTCGTCTTGGACGTCATCTGAAGCAAATGTCACCTTTTCATTCTCAATGGATACGAATCCTTTCGATTGCAGTGCTTGAATACTATCACTTATGGTCTTTGAAACCTCAGGAGCCCCAAACATTTCTGATACTCTTTTTGATAATGTTTCTGTGCTTTCTGTGTTTTCCAGAATAAATGTATTTTCATTGCTGCAGAGTAAGTGAAATAAAGCAGTACGTTCCTCATTTGGAAGCTCCTTGTATTTTTCTACAAAAATGAACAAATGACTCATGCCTTATGATTTCATTTATGCAGAAATATATTATATATTATATTGCCAAGCCTTCTGACTTACACTTACAAAAACAAGATCTAGATTCTGTTCCTTGTGTACTCATCAAATACGTATATATATATACTAGTCTAAATTCACAGGCAAGTTTTTGCTTTACACTGCTCTTTTATTGAATTCTTTAAACGGTATGATTTAATAAATATACAGGATAAAAAAAGAAGCAAAATAATTTTTCTCACTTAATTTATTTTATTAAAGCACTTTAACACAATATGCAAAAACGTAAGGCAACCTAGATTTAAAAATTCACAACGTTAAATACTGCATTATCCTCTATTCAAACGAATTCACATCAAGACAACCGTTCCTCAAAGAGTTCACACTATTTTAGAAAAATTCTTTTATTGAATGTGTTTCCATGTGGAGACTACATAGGTTTTCCTCTAGTTCTACTAAAATCTGCTGTTGGATAAGTTCCTTATAGATGATAGGCGGATTCCGTCTTCTGAATTCCGCCTAGAGTCAGGGCATAAATTTTCGTACAGGCACTTCCAATAGACTACGGCGACCGGTCAAATTAAGTTACACTCAGTGTTGTCCTTGTTATTCGGAGGTACAAGCTTTGATTATCGCTTCCGTCAAACCTCTTCCAAATCGCAACTTCTCGGGCCTTTCCGACTAGCGAAAAACAACTTCGAATTACTATATAGACGCCATGACAACCCTCTGTTCACAAACTTTGAAATAAATGTTGGAAGACCTCTTATCTGTGGAGTATGGAGTTTAACTTTATTGAATGTAATGACATTACCTAAAATATACAAGAAAGGGTACTTTTAATCCCTTCAATCCTATTTTCAAATAAACAGGAAATGTATAAATTTTCATAATCGGCAATATTTATATATTTGAGTTTGTTTTTTCCTACCTCTGACAGGAAAACCAGAGATTATGCGATTGACCTGTTCCTTCACTAGATATCCGGTGTAACGACGAAAAGTGACCCCCGCAGAATATTGACCGGCTTCATTTTACCTACTTATAAAATTAAATTTGACCCCCTGGTCAATATTCTACGTAGAAAAATTACCCACTATTTGTAGAAATTATGGCCTTGGGGTCGTTTTTCTCCATGAGCACTGTAGAAAAATGAACCCATAAAATAATGTCCCCTTGTCATTTTTGATGCAAAAACATTCGTTTTGGAAGGAACACTCTTGTTAGGCGAATGCATACAGGTAAAATCAATAAGCCTTATGATATTAAAGTGTTCATTTATGAAAGCTTTAAAGCTAAAATAACAAAATGAAAGCTATACTAGACCTTACTTTAATAATAAAAATTGTTTTATCCCCAGTAATGCTACGTTCCCACGGTCAGTTACGCACGTCACGATAGATCAATCGTACTTGATCACAGAATTTTTATTGATTTTTAAGCCAAAGATACGACGAAATGCGTAAAGGTGCGTTTTCATACGTTTCGTTACGCTTTTATGCGCTATGGCCACGATGGATAAATTTCATGGGATGCGATCTCTGACGATCTGACTACCGTTCAGATAAGATGAATTACATTCCAATAGGATTATCAAGATTTAGTCGAAAAAGGACATCGATCTGTCACGAATATCACGATCCGAGTTCTCGATTAGAAAAAATCTTCTACGTTTTAATACGTACTTTTGCGATATAATACGTTCATCGCGCACTCTTGCGCTAATGCGATAGAATAACACGTTCATTGCAATGTCTTTCACGATCAGGATCAAAATAGAACACGTTTTGAGCTACGATTGTTCCTCGACTGATATATAAAAATCTGGCTATATTGGGTCCATTATATTATATCTATTAAAAAGTAAATAAAAAATAAACATAGATTCAATAATAATGGCCTAAGTGGAGATTGATGACAACGTCATGAATGTGGTGTTTGTAGTTTAAAAATGGTCATATGTTATTGCTGTCAAAGTAGAGCAAAAGCAGCAGTATAACTGTGTTCTTATCTTTTTATTTTTTTTTCAATGATGTTGCCTCTAGATCTGATCGAATGGGTTCAGGTTAAGAAGAAGATAGGATCTCCCCCTTTCCTTTTTCGTACCTGTTTTAGGTGTCATCTTTAAAATATTTTTCCAAAATTCCAACTTTTTTTTCAATCAGGGAAAGAAACACGTTCAATTTTCCCGTTATTTTTGCGAGCTTAAGTACTCGTAATATAGCGTTATCATTCGCAACAAAGCGTTAATTAACACTTGTGTCTAATGGTGTTTACTCTCATATGTTCGTATCAAATCGTCTTTCAGCGAGAAAATAGTTGTCGATATATTTACATGTATTCACCTGACATCTCTGTTTTCCACACTTCGTAGCCATCAAGATATATACCAGCTGAAAAGAGATAGATTCCATCTATTAAACAAGAGGCCCATGGGCCACATCGCTCACCTGAGAAGCTTTGACCATTCTGTTCTTTACCAGATTTCCCCCTTGTTATACATAATGCATCCCCACCCTACCCCACTGATCATACTTTAGACATTTTGAAATCTACACTACCCCATGATCCTTCCATGGGCACATATGTTTCAGCTTTTTTGGCCCAGTGGTTCCTGAGAAGAAGATTTTCAAAGATTTTTCCTTTATATTTCTATGTAAAACTTTGATTCCCCTATAATGGCCCCGCCCTTCCCCCGGGGGTCATGATTCCTACAATTTAGAATTTACACTACCCCAGAATGCTTCCACATAAGCTTCACTTTTTCTGGCCCAGTGGTTCTTGAGAAGAAGATTTTCAAAGATTTTTCCTTTATATTTCTATATAAATCTTTGATTCCCCATTGTGGCCCCGCCCTTCCCCCGGGAGTCATGCTTTAAAAAAATTTAAAATCTACATTATACCAGGATGCTTCCACATAAGTTTCAGCTTTTCTGGCCCAGTGGTTCTTGAGAAGAAGATTTTCAAAGATTTTTCCTAAATATTTCTATGTAAAACTTTGATTCCCCATTGTGGCCCCGCCCTTACCCCGGGGGTCATGATGTGAACAATATAGAATCTACATTATACCAGGATGCTTCCAAATAAGTTTCAGCTTTTCTGGCCCAGTGTTCTTGAGAAGAAGATTTTCAAAGATTTTTCCTTTATATTTCTATGTAAAACTTTGATTCCCCATTGTGGCCCCGCCCTTCCCCCGGGGTTCATGATTTGAACAATTTAGAATTTACACTATACCAGGATGCTTCCACATAAGTTTCAGCTTTTCTGGCCCAGTGGTTCTTAAGAAGAAGATTTTCAAAGATTTTTCCTTTATATTTCTATATAAAACTTTGATTCCCCATTGTGGCCCCGCCCATCCCCCAGGGGTCATGATTTGAACAATTTATAATCTACACTACCCCAGGATGCTTTCACATAAGTTTCAGCTTTACTGGCCCAGTGGTTCTTGAGAAGAAGATTTTTTGATGACCCAACCCTATTTTTGTCTTTTCTTTATTATCTCCCCTTGCGAGGGGATATGTCCCTTCATTTTAACAATTTAGATTCCCCTTCACGAAAGGATGCTTTGTACCAAGTTTGGTCAAAATTGGCTCAGTGGTTCTTGAGAAGAAGTCGAAAATGTGAAAAGTTTACAGACGGACAGACAGACGGACGGACGACGGACAAAATGTGATCAGAAAAGCTCACTTGAGCCTTCGGCTCAGGTGAGCTAAAAAGACATAAATGTATGTTATGTGATTGAGAACAAAAACCATTTCTTAGATTTTGGAAGCAATGAGTCAATGTCTGAGAAAAGAATGTATGAAATTTGTTTAAGAAAACAAATATACAAACAATACAAAAGCACCATATCAGGGCTTAAATTCTAATTCATTGTATGTAAAGACGAAATATATCTAATAGAAATTCGGGAAAATACCCAAAATGTGTTTGCATGTTTCACTGACTTCATGCAAATGTGTATAAATAGTTTTACTTGTGATAATATTAAGGGTTTTTTTAATTATCGTCTGCAAAATATTCCGTATGTATTTTTACTCCAGAATCATTCATTGAACAAAATGATTGCACGCTATACTATAAGGAGACAATAGCACTAATGCATATACTTTTTTAATGGCTGCTCACATTTATTTTTTATGCTGCATGTAAGCAGTTGTCAAAAAATCATAGCTTTAAAATACATGCAAATACATTTTCTCACTTTGAAATATCAATCAAAAATCTGTATATTTAGTCCAGTTTGACTTTTTTCATAATATTATTTAATTATTTTTTTAGTTTTTATATTTATTTATTTGTGTATTATTTCATTTTTTGTTGTATTTCTTTATTTTTAATATACATGTATATCTAATTTTGTTTTGTTTTTTATTTTGTTTTTCTTATTTTTTTTATTTTTACCTCTCAGTTTGCTGCCAGAATTTTTATTTATATTGAGACAACATTCCATAAGATCTTCACTCAGCACTAAGGGCACTTACTATGATTGATTGATTGATTGATTGTAT